TTTAATAATAAACAGACAGTATGCACCACAAAACAAAAATAGCAATGTCATCTAAAAAACTAAAGAGTTTCACTACATTTTGTGTTTCACATACATCTCCCCTTCCTATCATGGAATCAACACAAGTGCACACTCAGTATCACAACTATAAAGATTTGTTAAAAACTTATACCTCGAGTGAAACAGTCAGTGTGTTTAATACTTATTATTTTCTTTATTTTCTTTCTTATCGTATTATTAATATTCCTGGGTGTATTTTATAAATTATTAAATACTTCTAAAACACTCTTTACTAACAGTGTAATATTGCATTGCGTGTTACTGACAATTCTAATTTGAATGTTTATAATACAAGGTAAGATCAAAATATGAACCCCCGCCCCACCATTTCCTTGCTTGTATAACCTCTCATCCTCATATTCATATATTGGAATAATCCTTCCTGTAAAAATAATGGGTCATTTCATTGTATGGAGGTGAAAGGTATAAATTAGGTTACGAGTTTTTTTTGTTTTTAAATAGAATTAATTATTTACTAGAAATTTATTTTTTGTATTGAGTTATACTCATAATTTGTGACAAAATATATTATTATACATCTGATATTAAAAATGATATCATTTATAATCTTTCTGTTAATTGTCATACAGACGTGTTTGAGACATGTCTTTAGGTTTTCCTTATTTGGAAAATGTGTGCCATATTTAAGTCACATTCAAACACTTTCCTACATCGACAGCAATAACTTTGTAGTGCGTAACTGAAATAGTCACATCACTGAACATAAATGATAAATTTCAGGCTTTTATATCTTGTTAAATTATGAGTAGAAGCACGAAAGAATTTATAATAATGAGGTTATCATGAGAAAACTGCAAAATATGCACTCTGGGTTGCATTGCTACATGTCTGTTGATATGAACACTGTACTGCCTTCGTGCATATTTTGCAGTATTCTCGTAATAATCTCATGATATTAGTACCAGTATGCACAAAATATACATTACTATAAAACAACACAGAGTACGTATTCTTATACATGTATAGTTGGATGAAATAAAAAAAAAACCCAAACTTTGAAATTCATAGCCTCAGTTCAGATAGTAAAATAGATTCTACTTTCTACAGTGGCAAATCAGAATTCCAGCATTTTCTGTTACAAGTACATTGTACCATGTTTCTGTCTTTGAAGTTCATTTAGCTTTTTGTTTAAAATAAAAATTAATACTTTAAATATTCACTTCTCATAGAATAAATTTAAAAGAAACCCCATTTTTACTAAACTTATTGAAACACATGAATGCACCACATCATAGACATGAGCAACAAACTGGACATTGGTGTAACTTGAGTGAAGCTGAGCTGCATTTAGCATTCATCTTGTTGTATTTGTTTGTTTCAGTCTAGGAAAACAATGGGTGAACCCCATGCCTACTGTAATGTATCAGTTGGTCAAGAAACTAAGAAGAGTAAGGTAAGTTTGTGTAAATGCCTGTATTTGGTAATTTACATGATCATTTGTTGCTATGGCAATCAACTGATGCAACTACATGTGCGCTCGCATCACAAGTTTTTTTCAATTTCTTTAAAGATTAATTTTGAAAAATGAATTGCAACACTGCTGTTCATTGCAGGGCATCAGATACCTTTTCCTGAATCTTGTATTTCATTGTGTGAAAGATGAGTACTAAAAGTTGTGATACAATATTAATGAATTACAGGTTGATCCTGAGACGTATGATCCAGTATGGGAAGAAGTGTATTACTTCTTAGTTCAGAATCCAACGCTACAAAACTTGGATGTTGAGGTAAGATCTCTAAATTAATAAATACCCCCGGTTGTCAAATTTACTAATTACCAACACCAATTCCTCTATGCATACTATTTTTTAAAATGAGTAGACTAACTGGACCTCCAGAAATGTTCAAAATACTGATAGTTTGTGATTTACAATTTGGCTTCAAAGTAAGCCTTAAAGGTGTCAAAAATACAAAAATAGAGCATTGATATTTATGGTAATAATTATAATCACATTTTTGTGCATGGCTGTCAGTACCAACAAAACCAAAGGACTACCCAATTTTATCATTTTTCAAAACTGGTGACCTGGAGTCCTGCCATTCAAAGTGCCCTTAAATTCCCATTCCACTCAACAATGTTTTGGTGAATTTTAACATAAGTACGTAGACTACAGAATTCTGTGTCATCACTGATTGGTTATCTCCATGATTTCAGGAAAGGGGCCCTTTATTACCAAGGGAACTAGCATGCACAGACTGTCCCATGCGTAAGGCCCACCCACAGTCCTTCAGGCTGATTCACTACTGGTAGTCTGTTTTTCATAGACTTTTCTAAAGTCTCACGATAGTGGACTACCCGGTACATCTAATCCACAAAACTGGTAGCCCCGCTGGGCTTTGATAATTGTTTATTTTGAGCTGCTTAAAAAACATTGAAGTCTGGATGATAAAATGATTTGTTATTATTTCAGGTGAAAGATAAGAAATCATCTAAAGTGCTTGGTACTACATCGATATCAATAAAGCGACTGTTAAGTGCACCTGATATGACAATGGAGCAACCGTTCCAGTTGGATGACTCTGGTCCCAACAGTACTGTTAGAATCCGACTCTGTCTCAAGGTAAGAGCCATCTACGATGTCTAGGCAGTATCTTTAATCATAACATGTTGTGTTCTTCATAGGTTGTGATAACTATAAGTATACATCCCACTACATACTTTTAGTTGCACTTAACTATTATGCCACTAATTTGATGGTTTGAATATGCGAGAATTGATGAAAATAATTGCATAATCGTTCACAATCGCACTGGTTCCAAATTGAAAGAGACCACTAATTTGATTGTTTGAATTTGCATGAATTAATGAAAATTATTGCATAATCATTCACAATCGCACTGGTTCCAAATTGAAAGAGACTTGAGAAATATGCATTATTATTATAATAACTCTAGTGTTAACATACAAGCTTGGTAGTACATATCTTTTGTTGTTTATACAATCTATACACACTTATTACTGGCATATTTAAATGTCTTCCTTTATGTGGTAAGTTGTTGAGTTGTTATTTTTCCATCCCAATTGCATCATTGTAGCCAATAGTCAGTCCTCACTCCAAGTATTATGGCAAAGTACCTGATTCAAATGCGGTAAGTTGTTGCTTAGCAACAGTGCATGACCCATACGTATATACAGCTCGCATGTGCCAAGTTACATTATAAGTACATTGTAATCTCGGCAAGTTTTACAAACTTTTACTACAATGGTGTATGGGATATAGAAGCATGATTTGAAATCTCAGCTGCATAATTTTACTATTTGGTTGTTGGATCTCTCTTTTTTCTGATGTTTTATACTTAATCAACTGTGAGGCTATTTGGGTTGTATTGTAGATATATTATGTGTGAATTCACTTTCAGATGACAGTTCATACTTGTGTTATTTTACTGTCCAAATTATGATGACATAGATTAATTAAAAATAGTTAGTGTTACTTTAAAAAATGAATATAATTTTGTGTTTGTTCATGCTCTTTTAAAAAATTTTGTTTTGTCTAATATTACTTATAAATAAGAAGTATATGAATGGTTGTTTGTACATTGTGCTATTCCCGATTTCTGAATTATTGACAGACGCAATTTATTTTCCTTTGCGCATGCATAAGCTACCTAGCAATGACAAGGATATGACAAAAAATTACAAAAAAGGACAACAAAAGAAGAGAAGGATGGATTTCCAGTTGAAAAGGGTGATTTTTACAGAGAGAATGAAATGAAATTAAGATGGTAAATGTGTTTTGCTGAGTAAATATGAATGTGACATGGTTTTTTCAACCCCCCAAAAATATTCTGCTTTAGGCTAATAAGTTTAAGTTAGTTTAAAGATAATGGGAGTTTTATTTGAGTGGATTTTTAATGCACAAATGCTGTAAATTCGTGATTCAGACATTTATATTTATCTGTAGGTGAGCACAACATGTGTACAGTTTAGTTGAGAGCACATCCGACTTGCAATAGTTGCATTAATTTATCCTTGTGTTAATGGATTTACATGTATGAATTTTTTTATGACAATGAAATCCATGAAACTTCTATTTTACATTGTTCTT